ATATATATATATATATATATATATATATATATATATATATATATATATATATATATATATATATTACTGATAACAATATAAAAAATATCAAAAAAGACAAACATATCGTTAATTCTAACATATTTTAATCGTATAATTGTTTTCCTAGACATCATATAAGGATCCGCCTAATCCATGTTGTAAAAATGAATAGACTTATTCTTCTTTTGACAAGTGTCATACTATTAGAATTCTTCATCAATATTATATGTTACCTATCATGTTACTTGTCAACTTATTAATTATCAATTTCAAATTTTAAATTTCTCATTTAATTACATTAAATTAATAATTGATTCTCCATTTTAAATTTCAAATTTTAAAATTCTTCACTCTAATTATGTAATATTAGGTTGTGTTTGGCACGCCACGGGTAGCTGATAAGCTAGCTTATTTTTCGAGTTTTTTTATGTTGTCGTGTTTGGTAAGCCAAAAAGTAGCTTATAAGATAGCTTTTTGAAAAACTACTCAGACTAGCTTTTTAGGAGTTTTTTAAAAATTTTCCAAATACGCCCCTTAATTAATTATAGAAACATATACTCTTACATGTCAGCTAACTTTTCAGCTAGTTTTACCAAACGTTATTTTTTATCAGCTAACTTTTCAGCTAACAGCTAGCTTTTTATTTAACAGCTAGCTTTTCAGCTATCAACTAGCTTTTCAGCTAACAACTAACTTTTCAGCTAGTCCGCCAAACATAGCGTTAATAACATTAGATTAAAAAATAAAATAAAATTAATACAAATTATAAGGTGATATAACTTCAAATATTTATTTAAATTAACGATTATAATTTTATATATATACTAAGAAAAAATCTTTTAAATAATAATTTATTTAAAATAATTGATTAATAGTTTTGAATTTTTAATATAAAAGTTTAATTAGTTTTATAACTATAGTTTACACGGGTTATAAGCTAGTAATTTATATAAATAAACTAGTAATTTATATAAATAAAGAAAGTACGTCTAAGACTAAAGGGTTTGGAAGGATGTTTCCCTCACTTTTTGTGGGTCACACCACTCACTTTCCTTTCCTTCACCTAAAATCCAAGGAATGGATGAGAAGCTCCTCTCACTATTTTTTTTATTTTTTTTAAAATATATTTCATACATATATTATACTCATTTTGTAGGGAATTAAAAACCATGAGTTTTGATATATTTTTTATATATATTTAATAGGTATATAATTTTATAAATATTAAAAAGGATATATAAAAAAAATAAAAAAAAAATAAAAAACTGCCCAATAGCATAAGGAGAGAGAGTGCGGCACCCTCTCCCCCCACCTCTTTCCCGCGGGTTGCTCCCCTCACCCGATGGATGGTGTTCCAGTGAGAGGGAAGATTCTCTCTCCCCTTTCCCGCTTCCATTCCGTCCCGCCTAATGACACCATTTCTTAATTAGAGTTGGATTTTTGATTGCCAATAAACATTCCTTTTTTCAATTTTCGATTTTTTTAAGTCGGCATAAATGGAGTAATTAAGCCATCAATTAGGGTTGAATGTTGCCTTCGGTGAACATACGCGCGTCATCCTCACGACCTCGTTTGACCGCTCACCTACGGCGATCCTCAGTGCCTTCAACCTCTCTCTGACGATCCCTCCGGCCTCCACGGCTCCACTCCGGTCTCTACGGGTCCACCTCCGGCGATCCCTCATTGCTCCATCTCCATCTGTGATTCAGGGTCTTATGTTTTTTCTTTATTTTTCTGATCGTCTTTTTCTATTTTTGATTTGTCTTTCGCTCTTCTTATCTTTCTGATTTCTATCTTCGTTTTATTCGTTTTATTTTATATGTATTTATGTTTCTAGTAATCGGCAAAGATTATTTGATCAAATTAATCATGTTTCTGATTTATGTCTTTTATTTTTTATTTGATTAAAGTAAGTGTTTCTAAATTTTTCATGGGTCTCTAAAATCATACCGACTGTTGTACTTTCCAAGATGGTGATTTTGTATGAATGTAACTGAGCAACAAACTTAAGTTTATTCTTGTTAGTTGTTAATGTTTTGTGCAACAAGTTCAGATTTTTGTGGTCATGTTTTGACTCTTGATTTTTATGTGTCTGAGTTTATGTATCTCTGTATGAGAATGCTGATAATTTTGGTGTGAATTGTGATCCTGATGTCTTGAAACACGACTTTAATATAAAAAGATGAAGTAATTTAGCTATTATCATGTTTTGTTTGCTTATTTATGAATTTTAAAATTGCTCTAATAGGTAATGAACATATATATTAAGTTTTGTAAGCACGTTGCAACTGTTCACTATTTGGTATCGAAAACTATGGAATTGATAGCATACTGTTGTTGATTTTGTGATATAAATTGGTTTGACCATCGGGGATTTGAAAACATGGCTGATTAGATGTGTCACGAGTTTAATATTTTTCACTCCTCCAGGAGTGATTAAGTTTTGTTTTATTTCTTTTTTACTTAATGTATAAAAAACTGAATGAGTTAAGTTATGAAAGGGTTGTCTTTTTTTGCATGCTTCAAATATAAAAGAAATGCTCAAAATCTATGCAAATGAACTATTGTCATGCTGTTTTCAATCAGGCCATGGAAACCCAACATTTTTATCATCCTTTGGTAGCAAAGACAGCAACTATTAGTCTTTTGAATGTTAGAGGGACGTCAAACCTTGGTTTCGATGCAACCTTCATAAAGCCACACAAACACAAACAACACTCTTCTCAGGTATGTATATATGGTATCTTATCTTTTCCCCTCAAATCTCATGATACAAGTTTTTCAAAAAAACAAAAAAACAAGTGACTTCATTTTATAAATGATTCATTCAACAGAGCGGATCCGAAGACTACCGGATTAAGCATAGGAAAGTTGCATCAATTGTGGCCAAGGTATCCAACTTAGAAGAATACAAGTGCGTGCAAGAAGTAGTTATGACAAACCAATCCAAGTTCCAAAAGACGCTCATGATTTGGGCAGAATACAAGTGCGTGTCAGCGATAATAACATCCATTGCAAGAGTCATGATAAGTCAACCGAAGCTCCTAGTGATGCTGGCGATGGCTGGAATGACCATGTCGATTAATTTCATGTTCATTTTGTGGCGAGAATCTGCACCCGACTTCCCACCTCTTTGGTTTACAGCTCTTGCTGCAACCATTCCATTTTTACCTGTCCTCCTTAACTTTCTTCTCATCCCAAAAACCACCACCATCAGGTATACAATTGCTGCCTCCATTCTCGGACAGGCTCTTGGATTTATGGCCCTCAAACGCTTTTACGCCAACCAAACCTTCTCTCACCGCCTCTGACTTCTCTTGATGCCTCTTATATTCTATATCATGTGAATGTTTGTTAAAAAGGTCTAATAAACCCATCTAATCAAATTGCTCATTGCATTTTTTTTTTCTAGTATAAATATATTAATCCCGTTGATTATCAAAAATGATCAATTCACAACCCACTAAAGGCCCTATTATATGTGATTACATTGACAATAAAGTTAGCCCAAATCATATATATCATTTTGTCCGTTGATATTTTGCTTGGTTTTGAGATAAAGAGACTACTATTTTATAATTAACTAGGTGGTTATAACTGTTGACAATTTTTAAAAAATGTTGTTTATTTATTTTTCAATATATAAATAATAGTTTTCAGAAAGTATAATGCTATATAAGGAAATGTTTTATGCTTATTTTTCAAAATCTTCAAAAAAGGAAATCCATTTTACATGTAAATGCCGCTATAAATGGTAATTTTTAGAAACTAGAATGCTATAAACTTGTAGTCTATTCGATTTTACAACAACCTATTTGAAACATAATGGTTAGAGAATAAATAAACATTCAGTTGTTATAAATAATAAAAAGGATAATGACATAAAAACCCTAAAGCTTACAAGTTTTTGTCGGTTTTATCATTTTGCAGATTTTAGATTCATTAAAACAAGATATTTGCAATTTTTTTTTCAATTTTAACCTTTGGTTTATTAAAGTCTTGAAGTTTGGTAGAAAATTCGGTTTTACCATTTTTTCTGGTTTATAAAAGCCCTTAAGTTTGGTTTTTTGTTCATTAAAGTTCTTAAGTTTGCCAAAAAAATTTATTTTTACTGGATAGGTTTGCAAAGTGGGTAAAATTGAAAAAAAAAAGTTGCAAATTTGAGGCTTTTATGGACCTAAAATATGATTTTGGGTAAAGCCGACAAAAGCTAGTAAACTTAAGGTTTTTGATGACATTTGCCCATAACAAAATACAAAAGCAAATAATCATCATGGTACTTAATTGTTTACGTACATTTCCATGTAAAGTGTTTTTGTTTAGTAACAAAACTAGATTATGACCCGCGTATAACGCGGGGGACATATAAAAAAATACATATAAAGGCAAAACTAATCCTAATAACTAATCAATGTTTTCAAAAAAAAAATTATTAATTTACAAAGATAGATGTTTTATTTGTAAAATTATAATGATTAGTTAAAATTAATATATACATTGGAATATCTGATTGACGTTTTGTATGTGTGGATATTTGCTATAACATAAGTGTACAATTGTTAATTTAAACTAATCATGCAAAATGTTTCGAAGATACGAACATTTTTAAAAATTGTAATCTTAACCATATATATGTGCTAATATTGATTCTTGTAATTGTGATTTACACGGTATAGA